CTTACAAAATTATAATAATTTTTCTTTTTGAGTCAAAAACCGACCGTGAATTTAAGGCATGAGTTACCGATTTATATTTCTTCTACGGCAGATATTTCTTGTTTCGTCACGTCCCATGACGTCCTGTGAGAGCGGTAGGCCGCCGCTGGTACAAATTATGTACAAGACATCGTCTGCCCACTGCTACACTTTGTTGACATACATTGTATTACACAACGTAATTTTCCGCTAGAAATAACTATAGAATAGCATTAAAAGATAGCACAATTCGCTTCACACAGTCGACACATGGATAAACCACAAAGTTATTTTACGAATCACATGTCCACTTGCCTCTGGTGCTGTTATTTTTCAAGGGGCAACATCACAACACATTAGCGGACGCCCCAGGAGGTGGCAAATTGCTATTGTCTTGTCGGCGCGCAAAACAAACATGAAATCCGACCCTATCACATTAACGCAAACGGTAACGCGTTAGAAATAATTTCTGACGATTTTCTAACCATTTTCTGACGAAAATCTAACCAAATACTGACGATTTTCTAACCATTTTCTGACGAAAAAATAACTCGTTAGTAACGGGGTACCCGGTTAACTATAACGCGAACGGTACTGTATATCCATATATAGCGTGAGCATCTAATATTTTGTCCTTGCGGTAGAATTCTGGCTCCAGCCAATTTTACAAATTGTAGAAAATGATTACAACTGTGCTCTTATAATTTTCATATCCTAGACATACATGCTACATTCATTCAGGGCTCTAGCAAGCTCTTTTTTTTTTTTTTGTTAGCCCAGGTAGGTTCATGATTGGACCTGGGGGAGAGTGCTTGCAATGTAAGGGGGGGTTCAGGGCAAATTTTAAATTTTCAAGCCTTTAAAACATTTTGAGGGGCAAATCATGGGGTTGAGTCAGTGTTTGTTGGTGGTCCTTTGGATGTATTTTTTTTTTTTCAAGATTTTTTGTCAATTTTGTTCATCAAGGTTGACGCATTGGTGTTAAAAAAATTTCCGGCACATGCTGCTAAGTTCCTGTTATTGACAGAAAAACGGGTTCAGGATAGAGCCCTGCATTCAATATGGACAGCATGTCGGAAGTGACGTCTAACACCTACATCCTACCTCCAGCATACGCCTCATGTACGTCAAACCAACCTTTGTCCATGCCGCAGCGTTCTTAATTGACGTCATACCAGAAAATTGAGCCGCATCCAATCCATATGTAATTCAACTTACAGAAGCATCATTTACATTAATACGTGTATCGTTGCATATGAGTCATTCCTACTTACCATATCCCTGTGTTTGAAAGTATTTTGTGGGTGTGCAATTTGATTCAAGTGTGTGGGGGTTTACTTAAGTTTGTAGTCTCTAATGTGCAAGATTCAATTTTTGATCTGAGTTCGTCTTCTTTTCAATTGTTTCTTTCATCCACACTAAACTAAATTTACTCTAGGTTTAAAGGCTTACAGTATCAGTGTCCTTATGTGCACTTAAGTGTCCTCACACTACCTTGTCACATAGCCAAGAAGACATTGAACCATGATACTGAAAATTGTAAAACATTTTTATAGCGTCACCACACCACGAAAACCAAATGACCCGAAATTCAACCTAAGGGTAGCTTGGCACCAAATTCTTAAGACTATAGTGTTCACTATTCAGATTCAGCCCTTTAGAATACTTTTATTTACCTTAGACTTAATTTTATGGATGACATCCGCGTGCGCATTGATTTTTGCCTGTTCTCAAAAAAAAAAAAGATCACGTCCTCTGAGGCTTTGGTCTGGCTCTTAGGCCTGGGTAGTTAGTGACAATATGGAGCCGGTGGTACCTCTAGCTTTCTCGGGGAAGGCACCCTGGCTACCAAAGCTCCACGACTCAAGACCCCAGTACACACGTACAGCGCCGATTTATAAATTCCGCAAAAAGCTAGCATGTGTCGGCTTGTCGTATACATGTATGTCGCTATGTACTGGGCCAGCACCGCAAATTCAGGATACCAGCTTTGTATACCTGTGGTTTAGTAGTATTTTATTTCTGGCTGGAATTTTTTTATTTGTCCGTGCACACTAGTTTGGGGGTCTTCAGAGAATGTCATCCTTAAAATTAACTCGGTGTGGCCTTACTTTGAGTAAAAACAGCGATTGTAGCTTCAAAACCCAAATCCCCAACTGACAGTTCTATAGAACACTTGTTCTATAGCAGAAGGCGTTGGAAGATTCCATTGCTTCATGGAGGTATATACAGGGGTGATTTAATAACAGTCCATTTGTGCGGGAGGGGGATAGGTCCATTTTTAGTCCGGGGGATGTGGTGAAGCCATCTGCTGCATTAGCTCCCGAGCAAATGTCGGCCTTTCTAGTTGATGGATATGTTGCGTGACTGACCATGTTGTGTTTATTTGACATGTGTCATTTAACCTGGTGTCTGTAATTATTGTTATTCCATCATTATTTATGACATGATGTCAGAAACAGATGGGCTTCCAAAAATCAAGCGGTATTCTAGAAAGTTGAAATAAACACTGAATCTACTGAGTATATATTAACCATGCCAAAGTTTTATTTTTAGTAAATGCGTGACTGAGTACATGTGTTCTAAGTTTGTATCTGACTGTTTCTCAATTCTACAGTATACTTAGAACTGAAAATACTGAATTTAAAGTTATGTGTCATGTGACAAATTCATCGGACACGCTGAAATGGCTTGCTGACCTACATGTATCGGACAAAGAGAGTGCCAAGGACTTTCTGTTTTTCTAGCAGTTTAAGCAATTATTTGGTAAAGCCTCATTGAACACATAGATTATTGTTCAGTAGCAACAGGTTGCTATAGTATAAATCAATGGGGACCTGGTAACTGAGGGATGATCATCTTGTCATGCAAATTTGATAGATTGTATCTTGGTAATGGTGTACACAAACGTATGTTTGCCAAATAATTTTTACACCCACGCACCTACAAGTTTAGAATACCTACCTGCAACATAATGATTTACAGACCGACAGATTTTTGAAATGAGAGAAAAATAACTTCTGATTCCAGACCGTCTTGTAACATAACAGCAGTGTTCTAGTCGGCCTGAAATCTTGTTGCATCATCTCAATTTTGTTTGATGTAAATGTTGAGCTCCAGTTCGAAAATACTAACTTAAAAGGGGGATATGATCCCTCAGGAAAATTTGGAAATCTTACCCCCTAAAAAGCAAATTTTGCCCATAGACTAAGCTTAGTTTAATGACAACTCGTTTCATATCTTGTCTATCAAAGATGTTGGAACAGGCAAAATTTTTGTCTGTCACGAGGAGCAAAATTTCAGAAAGACAGACACTGTCAAAAACACTGCACTACAGGGCCGGCTTAAATAGCTAGGAATACAATGTTATTATGGGAAACCTTTTACTGGTATCCTATTTGGTACAGTAGTGATTTTTTAACTCCAGTTTTCTCCCATCCGTCTATAACAGGTGTATGAAATCAATCTTATGTTACTGTGTGGGTAAGACGACTTAAATTAATCACAATTAGATGGAGCATTTTGCAGATTGTCAAAGTTGGCATATGCATGATCCTGCGTTTTTGTCTTTTTGCCAAAAAAGTTGATCAAAGTCATCTGTAATGTGTGCAACTACTACAGTCATGTCCTACTAGTGAGCGTAAACAGATTGTGTATAATGTGTGACTGTTTAAAGCATACTTGGGCCACACCAATTTAATTTCTTGGTTAACGGATTTGTCCGCTTCATTTTTTCTGATTTGCAAAGAAAAAAAAATTCAGAATCAACTGCAAAATGCTCATATTTTGCCCTGAACAGTTGAAAACAGTCCTTTTCTTCCTAGTTGTTACAGTTATTCCATCTATCAATGCAGTGGTATCATTAAAAGTTCAAAATTCATTGTTTAAATTTTGAACCAGCCTGGTGTGTTGACTTCATGGCTCCTATCATACCATTTTGGGCCATAATAGGATGCCTAGGTCTGTTTTTATTTTTCGCCCGCCCGCTCCATTATTTTTCTAGAAAAATCCGTTAACCAGCAAATTAAATTGGTGTGGCCTTAGGAGTTTTGAAAGAAAATTGGGGCATTCTAAGGCTTAGGGATAAAGGGGATATTATTGTGAGACAGTAGCTTACCACATGTGGTTTTAGTAGCATCACTGGTCAATCCAAATTTTCCGCTTGTCACATATCTGCTCTCAAGGGTAGGAGGGCACATGTGGTGGGAGCATGAGGGCACCAGGCCTAGTTTCCCTGTTTAGAAAACCCCCTGTGTATGCTCATTTTTCATAACAATTGACCCACTCTATGAAACTTTCACAAAGTAGTAATACAGTGAACTCACATATTTACTATGTCTCATGTTCACTTTACAACATATAAATTTTACCGGCACATGGACCAGTGCAGGTTAGATGCAGGTAGACATCAGAAATACCTGCACAGCTCCAATTTTACCTGCACTAACCTGCATATACCCAGTACATGGACCAGTGCAGGGTAGGTGCAGATAATCAGAAATACCTGCACAGCTCCAATTTTACCTTCACTAACCTGCATATACCCAGTACATGGACCAGTGCAGGTTAGATGCAGGTAGACATCAGAAATACCTGCACAGCTCCAATTTTACCTGCACTAACCTGCATATACCCAGCACATTGGCCAGTGCAGGTTAGGTGTAGGTAGTCAACTAAAATACCTGCACAGCTCCAATTTTACCTGCAGTTAGGTGCTATTCCAAGCCTTGGATGGTCTGAGTAACCTTGGTCTAATCACCCTAACCATGTTTTTTTCCTCTTCAGTACTGTGATGAGCAAATGTGTCCAGGAGAAACGAAGACGGGAACAGGAAAAGATGTACATAGAAGAGCTGGCTGAACTCATCTCCTCCAACATGGAAAACCTCATGACCATTAAAGCAGACAAATGTGCCATTCTACAGGAGGCAGTCAAACAGATCAAGGCTTTGCGACATCAAGGTAGGACAATTTCTCTGCCCGGTGGTAGATTTCATTTTGTAGAAGCCGTAGTGGTAGCCAGTATTTGATTATACTGTTGCAGAGTCCCTGGCAAGAGTGGACAGCTTCCCAAAATAATTTCATCAGGTTGGTATAATATACAGTCATGTAGGATACGGTGATTTTCTAAGTATACACATTACGCAACCATAACTTTTCTCAATTGACTAATATTTTGATGCCTATCATCTGTATCATTCTGTATAGCTGAAATAACCGCCCTTTGGTGTAACACACCAGCTTCTGTATCTGTATAGCCGGTATAACTGCCCTTCGGCGTAACACACCAGCTTCTGTATCTGTATAGCCGGTATAACCACCCTTCGGCGTAACACACCAGCTTATGTCAGGTACCTTTTTTAGAACCCTCTAATGCTTAGGTCACATTTCCAAACTGGTGCCCAGCGTTGCTGTTTGTGTGAATGAAATGTAAACAATTCCTATCAACAATATGCAGATAAATTGTATTCCTGATGAGTTTTTTTTGCCTTTTTTTGTTGTTGTGTTTTATAACTTACTTTTTGTCTGAAAAATACCATGCCAGGTTTTGGTAAGGGATCATGACCTTAACATAATTATACCAGGCCAGGTTTTGGTAAGGGATCATGGCCTTAACATAATTATAGTAATGGTGATGATACAGCCTCTATGTCTTTGAAGTCATGTCAGTCATCGTAAATTTTCTGACGGTTAATG